TTCACTTACCGGATAAGGTGCGAGGCTGAAACTTTGCTGGAATATTCTACTTTCGTGCATGGTCTTCGTTCTGCTTGGAGGTGAAATCCACTGCAGGTGGCTATGAGAAATACTCAGCTTTACTGCAAACCCAGAAACGAGTGCATTTTGCAGCAAACGACCGCTTTCATCCTCCCCCAATATGCAAATTAACTCATTTACATATTTGGATTTTTTGACGAACGATCGCTGTAGTAACATTCCCACTTTTCAGTGAACTGGAAATTTGCATTTTTTCGAAGAACGAGCGTTTACCAGAAAAACGACCGGGAATTCATGCAAAAAACTGATAATCATGTACCTGAAGGTCCACACGGCCCTACAATGCAACACCTTCATCCCAACCGACGCCTTTTTCCCGTATTCCGGAAGGGGCTAAAGCACTGCCAATATGGGCCCAAGTGTTAGGCTGCAGCGCAGCGATCATTCCTGCTATTAGCGATCTGCGAGTTTAGCGTAGAAACGCATGGCCGCGTCGGCAAGTCTGGTGCGTTCCAGCCTGGGCTTACAGCTAGTCTAAGTTAAATAATACACTGATCCCTTATACGTGCACCCGCTCAGGTGCTCCATGATGGCATGAGAGATGTAACGACCAGGAGACCCGAGATACGCAAAGGGACAAATCCTTACAATTCCTGACATACACTGCACTGCATTTCATTCGACTAAGCATACTTCTTACTACGAGCAACGTTCGTAGAACGAATGAAATACTCCAGGAGCTTAGCGAAGTGAAGAAATGGGCCTCAAACTAATAAATCGAAAACGAAGGTAATGCTTTTTCTGATTTTCTTTTGTGAATAAATTTTTTTGTGAAGCAGAAGCTACCTTCTATTGAAAGTGTCAAACGTTCAACAAATTTCGCTGCCGCCAAAAACCTTATCAGTGCAGCAGAAATGTGACTAAGCTTAGTGACCCTCTACAAACTGGAAAAAAATCTCAACAAAATGCAAAATGACGCTGATGGGCTGCAAATTAAGCTGAGTATGCTACAGGAGTTTTTTCGGTCGCCAAAAAGCTGAATTTGAAGGAAAAAACTTAGATTTACCTACCGGGTGCTATCGAAGAAGAGAAAAATCACGTCCCAAATAACAAATGAAGACAATAAGTATGCACCTCTGAAAATTCGGGTTGTATGGTAGTACTGTGAATGGAATTATTATGGAATAAAGTGCGGATTTGATCGGCAGCTGCCAGAAATGCCGCGAGATCCGAGAATTTTATATGTACTGTAGCGATAATTCGTTCACCCACTAATCGCCACACATGAAATTCGTGTATCGCTTCCACTCCTTGGATCTGAATTTTTTAAAAAAAATAAAATTCAGAAACGATTCACGCAAATAAAGTGAATCTGCTTATCTTTCAGCACATGTTCCAAGGAACCAATCAGTAATGAACGATCAGCCAAATTTCATAATTTCAAATAAGAATTCCTGCTCAAAATCCTTTTCAGTTCGCTCTACCGAATCAAAATATGTTACCCAACTGCACAAAGCAAATCCCGATAAAAAAAAAAAAAAAAGATAATTTGGGTGCAAAATACAGCTACCGGACGGGCCGCAAAAGCCAAAATAATTTCTGCTAAACGAAAACCAAAAAAAAATTTTAGAGGAAAAATTTAAAGGTACGAAGTGTGCATTTATATAACCTCTACAAAACCGTCCTTGTTACGATCTAGTATTATAAAATGTAGAGAAAAGGACCTCCTAGTCGAGTAAGTCACGTCACTGTGGTTTAAAAGTACAAAAAATCGGAATAATGTGATGCTCAACAAATATCTAGGGCAAATCGAAACCGTTAAAGCATCGCCAAATGGTACTACTGAAAGAACCGTTGAGCAGATGATTCTTTCAGGGGATGAAACAAACGTAAGAACTGCCGGTAAACTGACTACCAAACGATGCAGCAATGGTCAAAGAAACTGGAAATGCTGCCAGCTACGTAGCTGGAAAAAGACTATGAATTATAGCTGATCCAATTATTCCAAGTATATGAAAAAATATAATGATAAAAACAGCAGCTTACCAAAATATCAAATTATACATACAAACTGAAAAAAAGGAATTATTTTCATACAACCGATACCACTGGTCTTACCGCTCTTATGCGAAAGTTAATTGCTCCCACTATAGAAATGACATGAAATTATCACTTCATCATTTTGATAATATGAATCAAAGAGCAGAAAAAGACCATGAGCCAGTGCACTTTGGTTTTACTGAAATGCGTGGCCTGTATCTGGCCATATTATTAAAGTAATGGATGCTAACATTAAGAAGTTCCCTCTTAATTTCTTCAATTTCAATGAATCCAGGAGTTGTCTGCATCAGAATAAGTGCTGTTTCACGAACCAATGGAAATGTAGACGAGACCATTAAAGCCACCAATACCATGCTGTAAAAATTAATAATAGGAGACACAGAGAATTCTGCGCCTAACAAATGCAGACGAGTAGCAGAGAAAGGATTACGAAAGAAACAAACCTTAGCAGAGGATCTAAATAGTTTTTGAGGAATTCTTGGCCGGGTACAAAGAGCACAACCAGCGCAGTTATAATAACAATCACGGAGCCAATTGTGTCGCTAAGCACATGCAGAAATACGCCCTGCATATTCAGCTGCCTTGATAATTCTAAAAATAAAAAGAAATTATCGATGAATGGACAAACGAATATAAAACAAACAACTGCTGGAATGTGCATCACCGTTTTGTGCAAAGTTGCCCAGCACAATTTTTTTGGTGAGATTTTTTCTTATTGAACATGCTGCAGTGATAAACAACACTGCTCTTATGCTGAAATTCAAAGACCTGACTCTGCTACTGGAATGAGGGATCCCCCCATGCCAGATGCAAACGGCTTACTTCATGAGAGGAGATTAGCGGAAAAAGCTACGAGTTATAAAGGGGATGGAAAAGGAAGAAAGTTAAGAACTAAAATGTGTTCACTCAGGGAAAAGTTGTGAATAAACGTCTCTTTCTTATGTTTTATGTCTTTAAAAATCACAAATTCTGCGCAAACCAATTTCTCGTAAACAACTCAAGTTCAGAAATAAGGTCGTCTTATATCTCGAAATAATAAACGCAGCGGAACAGCTGCAGAGAGAATTCTTCAGCATTTTCTCGAATTAAGGGAACCCAGAATGGAGAAGTAAAATTCATTTCACCATCACAAGCCGCCGGTAAAAAGCAGGATTTTCAGCATATCATGAATTTACCTTTTTTTTGCTTTTCTTTACTTTTAACATCTGCAACGTGAGCCTGCTGGGAGCTGGTTTCACTGGGACGAACTTCCTGAAGATTAGCCATCGCCATTGCACCCTCCTAAAAAATTTTTATGCAGTTTTTGTAGTTAATTTCTTCCCCGGCTTCCGAAACCAACTCTTCCTTTAACAAGTACGTCAAAGGACCTGGGAAGAAGTGAAAGGCGAGAGGCTGCGGGGATAGGCGGTGGGGGAAGAGGGAGAAAAACGGCACTAAGGTGCCTTGTCCCTTAACCATGCAATGTACCAAAAAAAAATCCACAAAAATCAAAAATAACTGAACTGTTTTCTATTTTAGCGCAGTTGAACTATTTTCTATTTTGTTCTATTTTACTAGAAAAAACATGGACAGCGTCAAATTTGCCACCAAATATGCTGCAGTTCTATTCCAAAAATACACTGAAGCAAACAATGCCCGGCGTAAATTAACAAATCGAAGAGCTTTTGATCCAAAAAAAACGGAATTCAGCAACTTTAAACGTTCCTCGATGGAGATCAACTTTAGTAGCTTTTCGCCTAAGTGCGTAGACGATATCCAGTGGGATTTTTGTAACTTATGTTTTGTTTGAAATTCGAACTAACCTGATGAGATGACATGAGATAATGGCTTTCATTGTCGTCAATCGTGACATGAGTTTGCCGGCGACCAGGCTGTGGCTGCAGCGGAGCATCTCGGCTATGATCGCTGTGACCGTACGCGTGACCTGCGCCGAAACAACAGATAATATTTCATTCAGATTCCTTCTGAACTGTCTACAGGGAGAAAGAGAGAGAGTGTTTAACTTATCTAGCAAAGAATTTTACCCTTTCCTTTTTTCTTGGAGACCTTTCTTCAGTTCCTTTCCAATTTGCCTAAAGTAGAAAAAAAGCGCTCGAAATCCCTACAAATGCTTCACTTACCTTTTCATGTTTCTTTCTCATCAACAGTGTTTTCATTCTTTTGTATCGGTGAAAGAAAAAACTTACTGTGAAACATAAAAATGCCAATGAAATTGATAATGAGACCAATGACGCCGACAATAAGTACGTTAACGGGTTGCTTGATCACGTGAGGCTCAATAAGCCGCGTTAATGATTCGATGAAGATCGAAAGGCACAGTGCCAACAGGAATACACCATTAATCAGTGCTCCGAGCACTTCGGCACGCACCCAACCAAACGTATTCTTCTTCGATGAATGTGATGCAATCTGCAGCAAAAGCAATTAGTTATGCACGCTTATACATTAAAATATTATCGCTGGAAAATTGCCTTAGTGCGAAAAGCAAGAATTCCTTACAAAGCATACTTTTACCTACCAAGAAAACTCAGGATTTTATCGAAATTTTATGAGAAAAAACAATTATAGCAATAAAACCGCCAGATTTTTGTTTTATAATCTATAAAAGATACTATAAAATAACTGTAAAAAAAAATTTTTTTTACAGCTATTTTAACAAAACAAAAAAAAATCAGGCTGGTAAGGCACTTATCTCATCCTGACCGAAGAATAACAGTGTTCGGGGTATGGCGCTAATGCTTAACAGGCATCAACAGAATCACGAAAAATTAGGGTTTTGTCAAGTGCTTCTTTCAGAAAATCGCTGAGCTGACAATCGTTTCATGAGATGAAACGAATGTTAGAATCACTGGTAAACTGACAGCCAGTACTAATCAAAGCAACACGAAAAATTATCAGCTGCATAGTTGGAGAACCAGACTGTGAATTACAACTAATCCATGCATTTCAAGTAAAGATATATTTCCTTACTTCCCATATGCTCAGCAAATACAGCTAAATGTACTGCTCCTTAAAAACGCCTTTAATAAAACGCTATTATGACAAAAATGGAAGAATAAAGAATTTCTAAAATGACCCCTTCCAAAACAATCCTGGCAATGCCAGATAACGTTGCATTACTTAAATTACATTTTTTACCACTTAATCATTTACTTTCAAGAAGTATTCATATTTTTGTCTCTTTCCATTATTCTCTTCGTCTCCAATCTTTCTTCCCCTCCTTCCCTTTTTCCCTCCCTCACCTTAACCAAGTCAAAACAATCCGGTGCCAAATCAGGTCGTCACTAAGCTCTGTCCCTTCCCATCTCCTTCCTCGTCCTAACCTACCTGTCCACTCCTTCCCCCTCTGTCCCTCTTATCCTACTCAAATTAAAACAAGTCGGTCAAAAGTCAGACAGTCCATTAAGCTTACTTCTTCAAAAAAATGAACCAGCATGGTTTACAACAAGCATGACGAGAATACAAATCAAACTTTTCCAACACCAATTTATGCTCGCAAAA